GTGCCCTGGCACTCTTCCACTGGCACGAGTGGATAGTCTAGAGCTTGTCAGGGGCTCTAATCCCCCTAGTGACATCAGCAAATCTCTCGCGCAACAGCTTAAAGAATTCGTTCAGGGGGGTGATCGTGGAGTACACTACCGTATCGTTATCGCATTTAGCAGCACGGGCAAGCGATCTGGCGAAGCTTGCTGCTTCGTCTTTGAGAGCATGGAAGGAGATGAGGTGAACATAAGAGTTAATGTTCGCCTCCCAGTTGTCAGAGTTCTCTCCCTTCTTCCCACTGTAGGAATCGGGGAACTTAACTTTGACGGGGTCCCTGCGGGGACAAGCTTCCTCCTCCCTTGGGGCAGCAAGCCTTGCACCCTCTATGGCGCCCGTGCAGAATCGCTCTGTGCTCTCTAGCCTCGCCTTTACTTTCGTGCCCACGTGCATCATTATTTCACGCACGAACTCTCTGAATCCCAATCATATTGATCGCAAGGCTACATTCTGGCTCTTAGTGAACTGATATTGTTCGCCCCACGCCTTGGCCAAGAGCTCGATATTCTTCGACATCACCTACATCTTCCCCTGTATATCTGCTTGCGCCTCCATCTGCGCCCTTTGCTCTTTTAGTCTCCAATTCTTTCGCAACTTTACTTGCCTCCTCCATTCTCCTGTTCTTCTCCCTAGCTAAGCGCAACTTCCACTCCAACTTCTTCTCCTCTTCTATATTCTGACGTTTTAAGGGGTCCTCTTCTGCTTCCCACTCTTTCACTATCGCCTCCTGTTCCGCCCTTGGCACATACATCATTGCCTCCTCGTCCTCTACCAGGGATAGATTAGCGACCCACTCAGACACCTTTTTTTCCAACCATGGGTCCTCCTCCTCCTTCGTGCCACCGAATTCCCCTCTATCCCTGAAACTCTTTCTGAACAGGGGAACTTCCTCTTCTGCCTTTTTCTCTTCTTCTTCTTCTTCCGCCTCCACTGCTTTCAACTTTTTCTTCCTCCTCCTTCAACCTTCCAACTCTTCCTCCAACTTCTTCTTCTTTGCGGCTTGCTCCTGCAACAAGGCCAACTTCTTGGCCTGCTTCACTACCTCCTCCTTCTCCTTTCTGGCCTTCTGCTCGGCTAAGATTCTTGCAGCCTCCTCCTCCTGCTCCTTGGTGTAGGGAGTGGTCCCCGCACCACTCCAAGTCTCTACTCTACACGTGAAAGTGTTCCAGAACCCCAACGGAAAGAGGAGACGCCAGAGGGTTCCCCAAAGGGAGAACCCCACGAGCAAGCCGTACATAGGGTAATCGTCCATGGTGTCAAGTGCACGACAGTAACTGTCCCACTCCTCACCACTTAGACCTACCCACTCAACTGACTGACTGACTGTCTAAGGACCACAGAGCCTTACCCTTTCGTCCAGCCAGGTTACCACGACCGACGAAAGCTTTCGCCACCACTGTCCTTCACAATCCAGACCCAGATGCCCAGCTCCTGTGGTCAGTCCCACCTGGCTTTCTCTCCAGTTTCAAAACCCTGTCAACTATGGTCGCTAGTGTGGACCGACTTCTAAGCTGTCACTACATAACTTCAGCGCTGATCAGGAGGCATTTAAGGAGATCCCCCATAACTCCTCAAGAATTGTTTAACGTCGCAAATAGGACGACGCCATCAGCAAATCCTCTCAACACTTAGATAGCTGATTGTGCAGCCCACAGCTCGGATTTTGGGCCACCCATGCCACACTGTTCAGCCCGCCGGTCTGTACCGGTCCTTGGGAGGGTTTATCCTCCGCGACATGTCAATCATCAGACATGGAATTAAGCCCTACTCAGCCCGTGTGGGTTTGGTCAATGCAGCTCTACGACCTCATACACGGAGTTCCTATAACATGGACATAAGAGACTCAATGCAAAAGAAGAGACAGACAGATCGGCAAGTACCATGGGGTGAGTGCACATCCATAGGGCGAGGGAATAGGCTGAAGGCTTGGCGAGAATATACCAACTCCAGCTTGGTCAATCTCATGGTCAACAGCTCCGGTCAACGCTGGTCAACTCCTGGTCACTCGTCGGTCAACACCTTGGTCAACGCCCAAGTCAATCTCGGTCAACTCCTTGGTCAACATCTTGGTCAACGCCAAAGTCAACGTCAAACAACTCCCCGGTCAACTCCTCGGTCAACTGCTTGGTCAACGTTTGACTCGGGTATGGCTGCTGACCCTTTCTCTCTCACCAACCCTCGTTTCTCCTTCTCCCTCCTTCCTTTTTCACCCGGTTGCCTTTCCTCTTCCTCCCTCCTCCCTCTTCCTCAACTATGGCTTCTCTTTCCTCATTTGTCTCTCCCTCCTCCTTCACTCGTCTTCTTTCTTCTTCCTCAGTGTCCGAGCTCCGCGGCTATGGCCGCCTTCTTCCTTGGACCGCACAACAATCTCTCTCTCTCTCTCTCTCTCTCTCTCTCTCTCTCTCTCTCTCTCTCTTCGTCATTGTCTTTTTTTGCAGGTAGGCGGCACCTTTCTTCAGTGGCGCAGCTATGGCGGACCACCTCCTTCGATGGCGCAGCTTCAGCTATTGCGCCCGACTATCAACAACGGTGATGGCACGTGGAGTAACCGGAACCCGCTCCGATACCAATGCAACCAGACTCGCTTTCTTCTTCACCTCGCATACATGCAAACGAGCGGCGATTCACATTGGCATTCCATTCGCAGTGGGATGCTATCTGTTCAAACTTATCCAGGAAGTCAGAGACATGATAGCGATTGAAGAAGTCGATTTCAACCTTGGGTAGGTTGTCTCGCTCCCAATCTCGCATACCCAGTAGAAAGGCGAGCTCCTTGACCCCAATCTTCCCTTGAGAGCCTTCCATCTCGAGCTCCCTCAACCCCATCATCTGTTAAAGCAATTATCTACTTGAAATAAATCACAAGTATTCACTGATAGAATATTAGAAACATAATCCATACACTAACCAACCATCACTTGTACGTATTAAGGAAGGATATGAGACATATACGTCACATAAGTGGATACTCCAAACATGAGTCCAATATACAATACAACCCACAATAAATAACATATATTGATAACAATAATTCTCGGCATGATAAAAACAAATTATTTGTAAGGGTTGTAGCTGAAGGGCACAATATGCTTTATAAACAACAACATAAAGTCAACTCAACTGCCAGTCATGCAACAAGATAACTCTCAAGAACATATTCCATATTCAATAAGGCAAAAATAAGACTAGCAATGAGTAAATAACATGATACAATTGTTACCCCCTCAGCTCTTAAGCGAAGCATATAATATAAAGGGGCGATATAATCCTTATAAGATAACATCTTGACTCCTGAGCCCCGCTCTAAAGATCAAGCCTCACCGCAACCCTCTCTGATTCCAGCGCTTGCACCTCAAGGACCCTATCATGGTCAAATGGACAACCCAATTCATACCTATCAAGGCAACGAACAACGCATCTGCGCCCTTACAAATATGGTGGCCCTGCTTAACGCGAGACGAGCCTAGGTCGCTACTCCAGAACCGCTCTCACTAAGCAGTAGTTGCTCCACTTGATCATCATAGTTTCGTCAAGGTAACAAGCCCTTTCCTCCTCTCTCAACAGATAATGTAGTTACTTCCTATCATAGGAAACGTAACAACAACCCACTAATGGACCAGGAATATAATTCCGGCGTGAGTCTCACTATCATTCTTGAGACTGATAACTGCTTCCTTAAGCCTCAACGAGGGAGTAACAATTCCAGATTGCACTTCAATTGAGGACAAGTATACACGCTGACTTGCTTCCTTGAGGAAGAATCACCTTCCCCAGGAATGAGTCACCCCATTCACCTCTGGTCCCATGCCAGACGTGGGTTTCATGCAAAGTCTATGTCCTTTCTGAAAGACAATTCATACATACATCGTCAATCAGACATCAAACAAAATATAGAAAAATGCATACATGACAACAACCAGAAAAAAAAAAAAAACGTCACAAAAATAAATATATAATATTAAACATACTTAAAACATAAGCCTCTCTTCGGGTTAGCCAAAATGCTAGCTAAGTAACCACTACCTTTCAAACTTTATCGGTAGTTACATCTATACAATCCCCTAGGTGACTCAACTTATCGCCAACTGATACCATCGAAGGATCTAGGCACACAGTACCTATCATACCATAATTCAGTCTGAACTCAAGGAAAGATTTTTGCCATTTAAACCCCTCACTTCGCACTTATTAGTCATTCCCTCATTCGCACTTCATTCAATACCATCAAACGATTAACCATAAAAGGTCAGAGAATCTCCTCATTTTGCCTATTTCTCACATTCCCATACCTGGATGTCGTTCCACCAGGGACAACGGTAGGCAACCGTTATCCCCGACAACGATGCCACTTGTTGAGCGCATCGGTCCGGCACTGCCCAAGGCAGCGCGGGACCCTCCCAGCCACGTCACACAGGAGTTGGTCTGTTCCTTCATCGCCAATATACATGGAGCTTCCGCAAGTCGCTCTGGCCGAGTGCGCCAGCCATACCACTCGCGAGCCCCTACGACAAGATAGGGCCCACGCGAGGCACGACTTAACTCCACCTTACGGGAGTTGTCACCTCCCTTCGGTGGACGTATCCGCGCCGAGCTACCAGTCCACAATATGAAAGCTAATCAGGTGCAATCGCAGAGGTGGACCAGCCGAGGGCGTTTCTCGTACGTTGTAGCATAGGGGGTACGAGCGACATTACGCCTCTATCGGACCCGCACGCGAACCAACGTCTCGGGGGCTGAGGTCCCAAGTGCGACTCGTCGCCAGTCGACTAGGACACATCCCACACTCCACGCGCACACCACTCTAAGGAACATAAAAAAAAATAAAAAACACGCACACATACATATACACGAAACGACACAGAACAAACAATGCGACAACACTCCTAGTCCCTTAGTAGCCATCCCATAACTCTCCGACGCGGAAATCGGATAGGCGTCGCGCGCGAGGCTTCGTATAAAACCGCGTGGGCACAGGGCTAACTCATATCGATTCGCAAATGCAAGCACACGCAAGCAGTCGCAGTGATGGCGTACTATGTAGTACCCATACTCATGCGGTCCTCGTTAATCTCGAGGGTTGCATTCGACACTCGAGTGTCGGCTGACACGCGCCTTAAGGGAATGATCTCTCAACGCTGAACAACCGCCAAGTGCGGTTGAAAACCACACCCTCTTCTGCACCCTGCGGAAAGTGGGTGGTACACAGTTTCATACATGTGGTGGCAATCGTCTCTTATCGCCTTGGAGACCAGCTCCATCATCCAGGGCCTGGAGAGAAATCAAGGGGTTTGACTCTGACGGCTGCCACGAACTACAACGTCCAACTATAAAAATTAATAAGCAAAATCAATCAGTAAATAAATAAACCCCCAACACTCATATATCAATTCAGTACTCGAGATAAAATAAAAGGAGGAGGAAACATAAACCCATCAGGTATGCAGATCGTGCGACATATGGTTGTCATTCTCACTGCCTCCAAAGTGAGACTCGTATACCAAGCTCCATATACCAACCTGCATAAAACATAGGCACACACAATAGCTACATTGCCATACCCCAATGTGGTCAACTTCACCGTTTCCTGTAACTCACACCACGTCTCACACACTCAAGCCTCGGTCATAGTCCAACTTTCCATAAATCCCATAAGTTCTTTACAACAGCCATTAAAAGAAAAACCCTCAAAGAAACATATTGTAATGACCCGTCATAACAGAGATTGAGAACACTGCTGATTTCTGAAGTTCTGCTGATGGAATGGATGCATTGCTGAGATTCCCGCATTCTGCTGTGTTTTCTAAGTCTGTCTGTGTGTGCGTGCTTGTGACCTGCGTGCCTGTCTGAGTGCTTGTCCGTATGAGTGTGTGTGTGACCCGCAAGGGTACTTGCTTGTTTGGCAGGCCCGTAGGACCGGTACTTACCTGTGGCCGTGGCATTGAGGGTTGTAGCAGGGAAAAACACTCCAGTGGCGAAGCTAGCGGCCCCGCGGCCTTGGGATAGCGGAAAAACACTCAAGTAGGTAGGTAGGCCGAAACTGCACCCCACTTCAGTTGGCATGAGGGGGTACTGGAGGCCACAAGTTGGCATTTTTAGAGTCCAGTAGCGGTAGGGTAGGTCTAGGCCGGTACCAGTCCAACCAATCTGAGTCTAGAGCCTGTACGGGCAATATCATGGTCTGCAATGATGTTTCCCTCCGAAACGGAGGAAGTACCGGTTGCTTGGGGAGGCCGAGCGGCCTGGAAGTCACCGCCCAGGAGGCAAGTAGGCCGCTATATCAAGAGGCCGGGCAGAGAGCCCAGCCTCATTCTTCAGTGTGCAAGTTTGGCGACACGCTGCTGGAGCGCTGGCTGGAGTGGCGCTGGGTACCACAGCGCTGCTGGGAGGAAGAAGCCGGGAGCTTCCACCTTGGCTATGGTGGAGCTCTACCGGTAGGAGGAGGGAGAAAGGGACCAAGGAGGAGAGTGGCGAGGCACTTACCTGGCTATGGTAGACACCATCTTCATCTCCTTGCTAGGCACTGCATCAAGAAGGCCCCCGTTGGGGTAGTTCCGCATCAAGGAAGCTCGGGACCGAGTCAGGCATGGTGGCTGAGTGGGCAGCGGCATAGCTGCATGGTGATGACCTTGAAGTGGGGCAGCGGCATAACTGCTTTGGGTTGTCCTTTGGACAGGAGGCTGAAGCCTCAATAGTCCGCCATAGCCTCGGCCTGAATGTAGAGGAAGAGGAAGGGTGGCCATGGCTATGGTAGACCTCATGTTGAGCCTGCAGTAGAAGTGGGATTCGGACATTGATTCTGGTTCAGTCATTCAACATTATTATTGTTATTTCTTGTTTGAATAAGAGGGAGGAGATAAGGAGGAAGGGATTGGTTGGCGAAGAAGAAGAGCCTTGACATTGGTCTATGATGGAGTACATCATCATCTTCTTCTTTTTGACTTCTTCTTCTTCTTCTTTCCCTCTCTTTCCTCTCAAGTTCATTCATTTCTTTTTGCAATTGGATGGCATTGTACTTTCAGATGAATGTATACTTCGAATTTGGCCGGGATCGTAACATTGGTATCGGAGCGGATTCTACTTGCTGGTGAGAGTTGACTTTGCTGCCATAACCCTAACCCTAGTGGTAAGGGCTAACCACTTAGGGTTAGGGCTGGAAGTTAGGGTTAAGTGGGGCAGCGTGGTGAAGGGAAGCTGCTCCCACCTGGCAGGGCCGTGTAGGGTCGACACTAGACCCGACCAGGTTGTTTGAGTGCATGTTTGTGGTGGCGAGACACAACGTGGGACTTCGTGATGCAATTTGAGAGAGGCGACAGTAAAGGGCACCTACAACTTGAATCTGGACTTCAAGGAAGACGAGGAGTGACTTGAGGGCTCCCCTCAAGTCAGGCGAGCTTGAGGGTGGCAGCCATATCTGCACCTACGGACTGCAAGTTGCTGCTTTGATCTTCAACATTGACGGGGGATCCGGCTTTGTACTTTGGGGTAGATGTTGACCCTCCTAGATGATAGGACAGTAGTGTAGAGGATGCTAATTGGGTCAGGAGGACTATGTGAGAGGGGGGTGAGTTCTTTCCATCTCAAGAGCCCGACCACTCAGGTAAGTGTCGTGCCACCAGGGTGCCCATGTGTGTGTGCATGGAATTGACTGCCTGTTGGGGTTTTCTGCGTTCTTCTTCCATCCTCCTTAGTCTTGATTGTGTGTGAGGTGTGTGAACTACCTACTCACCTGACGAGTGAATGAATGGAGTATCTTGTTTGCCATGCGATATCTCTCTACAGTGCTTTGTTTATTTCATTTTGAACGGCTGTAGTCTGTAGGCTCTTTCTGGGGCAAAATTTCGTTTTTCAATTCGGTAGGGACAGAGTAGGTCTTTGTGGAACTCTTGTTGGTTGGGACCTGGTTCTGACTCCACTGGGACCATTTGGGACTCAGTGGGACCAGGCCCAAACAAGAAGGGCCCCTCAGGCCAAATCTGTTGACGTCAATTACCTTGCTCTATCTGATTGGGACTCGAACTTTATGCTTTCGGACCAGGACACTCGCTGCGGAGGGGATCTCCGCTGGGACGTTTTATCAGACTTTACCGCATGATCCGCCGCCTGACTCGCACCTTGGGTCAATTCTCTCTTGCATCTAGCTGTACACCTTGAATCTGATTTGCTGCGTCTTCACGGAGCTGAGTCCGGCTAGGCTTGAGAGGACCTCATACGTAGTCGGTCCAGACTGTGTGGCTGGATCAGATCTCTCTGATCTTTTTTTTTTTGTTTTGACTGCTCTCCAGCCCAAATGAATTGCCGCGCCGGCTAGGAGTTCTACCTTCTCTTCTGATTGATTTCAAGCTGTTTCTTTGACTTGGTTCGTTAAATGCCTGCGTCTACACGATCGCAAACAAGAGAGAGAGAGAGAAGAGAGAAGCTTCTGAGAGTTGCTCTTGATGGAGTGAGGAGAGGGAAGAGGAGTGTTCATCCCAGAAGTGTGAGGAAGTACGGACCCCTCTTGAGAGATTTGCTAACGCCCTCATCCTCCACTGTGGCATCTGCAGCAGAATGGAAGCTGCAAATGGACGCTGCCCCCGAGGCAGAAAAAGCGCAGTACCGATTCTTCTACGAGAAAGCATTGAAGAGGGAAGAGGAGGAGAAGGAGAAGGAGAGGGAGGAGAAGGTCAAGGCTCATGAAGCCATTTTCTGCACCTTGCCTACCCTAACCGATGCGGAGGTGGAAGAGAAAACCGTTCCACTCCTCCGGGCTTTGGTAGAAGTCCGGGCTGTTGAGGACCATACTGGTCAAATTGCCAAAGTGTTCGACAAACTCAAGAAGTTGCGAGAAGACATGGCCCTGATGGCGCAGCAGCACCGTGACCAGCTGCAACAGTTCGCTGATGTGCAGCCAGCCCAAAGAATCCTTCCGCCTGCTTACCCTGCTTCTAGTGTTGCGTGTCAGTCCGTTCTTGCCCCTCTGAATGTGTCGTCTTCTACTTCTTCTTCTTCTTTGAGTGTGACTAACAGCCTATCCGGATCTGCAGCAGGTCCAGACCCCGTTGCTGCTGCTGCTGCTGCAGCAGCAAGTAGCAGTGCAGGGCATTCTCGAACTGTTGCAGTCTCGAGCTGCAGCTTTCCTTACATCGATAGAAAGGCGGCACAAATTTCGTCTAAGTATGATGGAAAGGACGACATCGAACCTTGGATCAGCTCCATGCTATCCTACTTCGACGTGCTGGGGACACTCCTAGTTACTCAGTCGTCGGTCCTAGGGACCAATGTGGAACCCGCCGTAAGAGGATTCTTGGAAATCCAAGTTGTACAAGCAGGCTATAAGAGAATAGACCTGAACAAATGGCTTAAGGCTACGCCTGTAGCTACACTCGAGGAACACTTGATCAAACAATATGCTGATCCATATGCTGCAGCCAAAGTTAGACTCAAGCTTGACAAGCTCAAGCACAGCAAGTGGACCGGCACCATGCATAGTCTGCAACAGTATGTTAGTAAACTTTTTGCTACTCCTGACTTGGAAATGACTACGCAATCTTGCTTGGATGTGATAAAATACACGGTCCCCTCTACTATAACACATCGCCTGGGGCTCGGACTCTGCGCATATACAGATTGGCTTACCCTCATGCGGGATTTAGTCAAGCTGGAGGCACAAGACCTCCCGGGTGGATCGGGTGGCAAAAAGTTCACCGGTCGCAAACGGTTTCCAGACAGCAACCGTTTTTCAGCGCACGATCTACTTGAGGATGACGAGGAAACCTTCGCAGAGGATCCTTCTCTTGATGACGATCAAGAGCAAGGCTGTGAGGCATCTTGCTCTTCGTCAGCCCACGAGTCTGAGTGTGTGAACGATGATGAATCTATGAATGCCTTCAAGAAGACTGCCTTTAAAAGTAAGGGACCAAGGACCACAGTGAAGAATAACACTAACACCATTCTTCTTCCTAAGGGAGCGAAAATTCCACCCAAACCGGAAGATCCTGCCACCAAACCATGGGTAGATCTCCGGATCAGTGAAAGTGAGTGGAAACACAGGGTGAAGAAAGGGGTTTGACTGCACTGCACCAAACCGGGAAAATCAGTCCAACATTGTTTCAGATTGCAGCAGGGAAACCAATAACGGGGGTTGAGACATCATCAGCACACTCTACAGATGGAGAGGCTGAACATATAAGTGCAGATCCTTCTCTGGATTCTTATCCCACTCAGCAAACCTCTCCTGAGACCCCATCTGATGTTGATTCCAAGGCTGAGAAAATACACATCCTATAGCCTTGGGTAGAGTCGGAAGAAATTGACTTCCATGCTCTGTTGACGTGCTGGGCTCATATGAAGCAAGAACGCGCGCAAGGGAGAACGAAGTTGATCTTCTTCAAACTCTACATTAATGGCCGTTACATCCGTGCGTTGGCTGATTGTGGTTCAACCGCCAACTACTTCTAACCGCACGGCATTCGTAAGGCACGCTTGGGGATGAAGCAAGTGACCTTGCAGAACCCTTGTCGGACCCAAGTGGGCAACCAAGAGGTTGTCACMTCTACGCATGCAGTCAAAGGTGTGCGCACTACCTTTGACGCCGACCGCACGATCACGCATGAACTGAACTTCTATGTCCTTGATCAGTGCCCCTTCGACGCGGTTATTCGCTTGGGCTGGTTGCAGGCCCAATGTGAAAGAACCACGTGGAAGGACTCACAATTCATGGTCAAAGATGCCATGGGGATCGAGCGTCCAGTCCTCTTGGATGAGCCAAGCGAGTCCCCAGTAACTTTTCTCAATGCAATGCAATTCTGCAAAAAGTGGCGCAGGCGCAAAGTTGATGAGCAAATGTATATAGTCTTTGTTAGGCCTGCTCATGTGCCTTCTATTTTTGCTGTACATAACAATTCTACCTTGCATGTTGTTTCTACTTCTGATGCAACTACTTCTACCTCTACTAAATCCATCTCTAGTCCAAATGACTCTATTTCTAATCCTGTTGTGTTGGTTGCACCTATGACATCCGATATGCTTGCTCCTGATAGTGATGATCCCCCTCCGGAAGTTCCGCCGGAAATTCGCAACCTTCTCAACCGATTTCTTGAAGTCTTGGCCGAACCGCATGGAGTTCCCGTGCGTCCGGTTCGACACAAGATCGAGTTGATTGAAGGTAGCACTCCTCCAAAAGGTTGTGTCTATCGAATGGGCTCAGGCGAATTGGAGGAGTTGCGAAGGCAGATTGAGGAGATGATTGGGAAGGGATGGATCAAACCGAGTGAGTCTTAGTTTGGTGCACCGGTTCTGTTTGTCCCTCAGAAAGGAGGCAAACTACAAATGTGTATTGATTACTGCGGATTAATCCGAATCACAAGAAAAAATGCATATCCTTTGCCACGTATTGATGACTTGCTTGATGCTGCAGGTGGATGCAAGGTCTTCAGCAAGATCGATCTCAAGTTTGGCTATCACCAGATTGAAGTCGATCCTGCAGACCAGTGTAAAACCGCATTCAAAACTCGCGATGGGCTGTACGAATTTACAGTCATGCCCTTCGGTCTCACGAATACGCCAACCACCTTTCAAAGTCTCATGGATAAGGTATGTCGCAATCAGATCAACCGATTTGTTGTTGTATATCTGGATGACATACTAATCTTCAACAAATCGATGGAGGAGCACATGAGACACCTTGAGGAAGTGATGCAGATCCTCAAGGTCAGCGCAGCTCCATCTCAACTTGGAGAAATCTGAGTTTGGGAGGGACAGTGTCATCTACCTTGGACATCGGTTGTCTGCTGCAGGCCTAGAGCCTGAGGCAACCAAAGTTGAGGTCATCCAAAAATGGCCTCAACCGGCGAATGTCCGCGAGTTGCGTTCTTTTCTTGGTCTTGCATCATACTACCGTAAGTTTGTGCCTAAATTTTCCATCATCGCCCGTCCGCTGTCCAGATTGACCAGCAAGAATGTGTCCTACACATGGGATGGGGAATGCACGACAACCTTCCAAGCACTAAAGGAGGCTTTGGTGAGTCATCCGGTGCTCCGCATTGCAGATCCCAAACTCACGTTCGTAGTAACTACGGATGCCAGTTTGTATGGGATTGGTGCAGTGCTGCAACAAGATGACGGCGACGACTTACGTCCGCTAGAATTTTACAGCAAACGTATGCCCAGTCACAAGGTAGCTGCCTCCACTTACATGCGAGAGCTCTATGCCTTGAGGGAGGCACTAGACCATTGGAAGCACTATCTGTTGGGTCGCCATTTCAAAGTGTTCTCGAATCACGAGACCTTGAAATGGATTCCGACGTAGAACAATCCCTCAACTACACTGACCCGCTGGCTGCATGAGATTGTTGTGTCTGATTTCAAACTTAGACACAAGAAGGGTTGTTACAATCGTGTTGTGGATGCTTTGTCTCGCCACCCTGAGTACATGACTTGCCTTGTGGGTTCCTATGACCTGTGTAAAAATTTGAAGGAGGAACTCATCGAGCATACTGCCAAGGATCCGAAACTCAGTCCCATCCTTGAGCAGATTCGGGCTGACCCTAGCAGTCAGCCTGATTTCCATGAATGTAAGGGCCTTTTCTTTCGACGCTACGGGAAGCATGACCGATTGTGTGTGCCCAACCATGAACCAATCATGACCCACTTCTTGGATTTGGCTCATGGCCGAAGTGGACACTTCGGTGTTGAGAAGACATACATAAATCTGTTGGAAAAGTTTGTGTGGCCTTGAATAAAAAGGATGGCACAAAGGTTTGTGGCTGAGTGTGAAGTTTGTCAGCGCATCAAACCGTCTCGACAGAAGCCCTATGGGCTGCTGCACCCTCTTCCTATCCCTGATGGCCCGGGTGAGTCTGTTTCCATTGACTTTATGGACATAGGGAAGAAGAGCAGAAACGGTTATTCACAAGTAATGGTGATCATTGATCGTTTCTCGAAATTTCTGAATTTGATCCCTTTGCCACCTTACGCCCCAGCTGACCTTGTGATCAATGAGTTTAACAAGAGATACATTTTGCATTACGCCCCCCCGAAGACTCTTGTGAGTGATCGGGATACCAGGTTCATAAGTGCAGATTGGAAAGATTTCACCTCCCAGACCTACGACATGAAACTCAAGATGACGTCTGGTCGACATCCCGAAGCCAATGGACTGGCCGAGGAGATCAACCAGACTGTGATCCAACTTCTCAGGGCTCTAATTGTACTTGATCAAAACTCTTGGGATGAGGAGTTGCCGATTGTGCAGGGGTTGTATAACAACTCCATCCACTCCTCTACCGGGATGACGCCTAACCGGCTGCATCTTGGATGGAAAATCCGCAATCCTCTATCTTATCTGTTCCGTGAACAGCCACCTGGCCTAACACCTGGCCAGCCAGGCTACAACGCTAAGTTTGATCGCCTGCTCAAAGTTGTTGTTGCCGCTATGGAAAGGCGACACAGTGCCATGATTAAACATGCTAACAACAAGCGCCAACCTGCACCTTTCACAGTGGGAAGTTATGTCTGGGTCAAAATGTCTGAGTTTTCTGAAGAAGAAGGTGTATCACGAAAGCTTCTTCCTCAATACTACGGTCCGTGGAAGGTGTTGAACCAGGTAGGGAGTGATTCCTTTGGCCCTTCGTATACGATTGATGTGCCTGCTCATCTGCGCACATATCCAATCTTTCACGCATCGAAGTTGTTTCCGTATGAATCACCCAAAACTTTCAAGTATCGAGAATCGATGATTCCCCGCGCAATCAATGGCGGTCACAAGATCGATAGGATTGTCGAGCACAGTTGGAAGGGAAGAAACAGACAGTACAAAGTCCATTTCTCTACCACCCATTGGATGATTTCTACTAGATTGCTAAGAAGGACTTACTGCAGAGTGCACCACGCGTCGTTAACGCCTATGAACGATTGATAAGTTCTGAACAACAACCAAAATTCACTGCTACCCTGACTCCTACGGAACACACCTGATCTCTCTTTGCTATCTACGCCTATGATGCATTATCCAAGGACTTTGATTGAGTTACCCGCTCGAAGGGACCTCGCTCTTGAAGGGAGGGTAGTGTAATGACCCATCATAACACAGATTGAGAACACTGTTGATTTCTAAAGTTCTGCTGATGGAATGGATGCATTGCTGAGATTCTCGCATTCTGCTGTGTTTTCTAAGTCTACCCGCAAGGGTACTTGCTTGTTTGGCAGGCCCGTAGGGCCGGTACTTACCTGTGGCTGTGGCATTGAGGGTTGTAGCAGGGAAAAACACTCAAGTGGCGAAGCTAGCGGCCCCGCGGCCTTGGGATAGCGGACAAACACTCAAGTAGGCGGGTAGGCAAAAACTGCACCCCACTTCAGTTGGCGTGAGGGGGTACTGGAGGCCGAGCAGAAGAAGACAAAGTTGGCATTTTTAGAGTCCAGTAGCGGTAGGGTAGTTCTAGGCCGGTACCAGTCCAACCAGTCCGAGTCTAGAGCCTGTACGAGCAATATCAGGGTCTGCAATGATGTTTCCCTCCGAAACGGAGGAAGTACCGGTTGCTTCGAGAGGCCGAATGCCTGGAAGTCACCGCCCAGGAGGCAAGTAGGCCACTATATCAAAAGGCCGGGCAGAGAGCCTAGCCTCATTCTTCAGTGTGCAAGTTTGGCGACACGCTGCTGGAGCGTTGGCTGGAGTGGCGCTGGGTACCACAGCGCTGCTGGGAGGAAGAAGTCGGGAGCTTCCACCTTGGCCATGGTGGAGCTCTACCGGTAGGAGGAGGGAGAAAGGGACCAAGGAGGAGAGTGGCGAGGCACTTACCTGGCTATGGTAGACACCATCTTCATCTCCTTGCTAGGTGCTGCATCAGGAAGGCCCCCGTTGGGGTAGTGCCGCATCAAGGAAGCTCAGGACCGAGTCAGGCATGGTGGCTGAATGGGCAGCGGCATAGCTGCATGGTGATGAACTTGAAGTGGGGCAGCGGCATAGCTGCATTGGGTTGTCCTTTGGACAGGAGGCTAAGGCCTCAATAATCCGCCATAGCCTCGGCCTGAATGTAGAGGAAGAGGAAGGGTGGCCACCCGGCCCGTAAACTCAGCATCACCGACCCTATTGTCTCAAGTGCAATTACAAGCTCAAGCCCTGACCGCGCCGTGTTCCCACCAACGGCGTGGTAGAAGACTTTCGCCAGCATCCTGAACCCACGGGCCCGTCGAGCGAGGTGCGCACCCAAGTCCTCATCTGCCGCGACGGCCACCCGTGTATGACGACGGCCTCATAACCGATTACCGAGGTAAAAAAAAATAGAAAAAACAAACAAATAAATAAATAATAAAAATAAGACTAAACGTCGTGTGTCTCGCTGTCCCGCGACGCTGCGCATACCCATGCTGCCCTTGGTCGCGCCAGCGCGCGCTGCTCACCCAAGCAAAGACCTAAGCTTCCTCTTGTGTGCGCCGTCGGACGGGCGAGGCTGCTCTGGCATGACTTGCAGACAAGACGCCAAATACCCTTGTAAGGGTATTTGGTACGACAACATGGTGAGGAGGCGGATGCAATCTTACTGTGCTATCACCCACCATGGATGACTGTCCGATGTTTGGATTCTTGGCCCTGTCCGCAATATGGGGGCCACTCCTTCGCTTCTCTTTCCACTGGGGTTCTTCCATACCTTTGGTATTAACATCGTGAGTCGATCTGGGAGATCTACCCAACCCTTTACTGCTGAACAGCAAGCTGAGATTGACAGGAGGCTAAAAGAAACGAAGGAGAGGGAAGAAAGGAGGAGAAGAGAAAGAAGAAAGAGGAAGAGAAGGAGAGACTGGAGATTGAGAGAAGGGAGTTGGCAGAGAAATTGAAGTCTCTGAAGAAGTAGAAGCAAGGGGTGGAGGTGGCGGAAGAAGAAGGAAAAGAAGAAGAAGAAATGAGGCTGGAGGACCCCAGGTTCAAAAGAGAGGAAGGAGGAAGAACAGAGAAGGGGGAATCTAGTCAACTCCACTTCTACCCTGTTGATACCCAGACATGGATGGAGAAGTTTGGGTTCAGGAAGGACGAGTGGGCGAAGGAATCGGAGGCTGAGCGAGCAGAACTCGTGGCAAGGATGGAGGCGGCAGACGATGATACGGAAAGGGAGCTGATCATGCAGGAAAGGGAAAATGAGTTACCGCAAAGGATCCTGGCAAAGAAGAGAGCGGAGCTTGAAGAAAAGAGGAGGTTGAAAGCAGAAGGAGAGGAGCTCGAGGGTCAGTTAAGGGAGCAGAAAGAACGTGCAATCGCGCCCTTGTAGTGGACTCCCTGCTGCATATTAACAAAGAAGTTACCATCATCGACAAGTCAATGTCCGGCATTACGAAAGATGGACTCAGCGTAAGTGGAACATGCAATGTGCTCTTATGGCCGTGCTGCTGGATCATAAACAGGCTGGCTTGCTATGGAAAATCTATCATCTGGCCATTCTGACAGCACAATGGTTCGCACTCAGAAGCTTCCATAGGGAGCAGCAATGTGAGGCAGGATGTGGAGAGGTGGAGACCATACCCCACCTGTTCGTGCAATGCCCGGTAATCCGGGCCTTCTGGAAGTGATGGGCGCAAATAGCAAAGCACACCCCGTTGGAAGTAGCAGAAACACAAGAGGCACTCATTCTCCTGGGAACCCTGATGAGGGCCAACAGATTGTAGCTAAAGAATCAGCTGGCAATGGAAACTGTGAGAACAGCACTAATATGGACCATCGAGACCCTGAGAAACGAGCGATCCAGACAGGGTATGGCCCCCACCCTGCAGGCATATCACGGACAAGCGATGGAAAATATTCGAGTGGCCATTCAGGCAGACTTCCGTCGGTGTGGCCAAGAGGAGAAGGAAAGGACCTCTCTTGGAGGAGATTGAACCCCTATCCACAGCTGCTGGTGCCAGACCCGAAGTCGCGCCGAGTCTTGTTTGGGCCTCTGTTGCTGCGACGAACATGCCAAATGGAGACCGATGTGTAACATAGAGATTTGGAAGTTAGTGGGAATGGACGAGGATAGGATAGAACAAGTTGTAGGGTAGGCACACAAACAGAGGGACGAGGATAGGATAGGAAGTAGGGGTGGGTGTACAAGTATGTGAGGGGAGGGGGAGGGGGAGGGGGGGAAGGGAGTCGAAGCTGTAATGAAAAAGCCAGGGTACTATATACAGACTGTAAGGAACCAGGGGAGCTCTTAGGGAATGGGCACACAATGCGAGGCCAAGCATGAGGCATATGATATATTGTAGTAGTAGCAAGGCAGGAAGTAGGCAAAGTATCTGGATGTCAAGCAAATGGTAAGGGAACAGTGAAATAGTGCTACTGCGTAGAAGGTAGGGACAAAGACTGAGAAATGGATATTCCGCTAGTTTGGACATTGACCGGCCGGTGAGGCTGCCAGCCGGCTCTCCCCCACGCCCCGCCATTACAGAATCCACATGCTGTGTGTCTGGGTGCTGCCAGTAAGCTTCCCGGCCAGCAAGTGCACCTTGCAAATGAGTCATGGTTGGGGGGGAGAGCTGCAAGCGTGGCTGTATATGTGGGACGAAATGAATCTCAGCAGAGGAAATTCCAATGCTCCAAATGAGACCAAATTTAGTACACCCAAACCTTGACCAAAAACAAAACAGGCAAAAAAAAAAAAAAAAAAAATTAAATTTGACCCCCAAACCCTAATTTCAGTTTTGGGTCTGTTGATCAGAACCTGAAAATGGGGGGTCCCTATCAGGCCTCCAAAGGCCCATGTAGTAGGCCACTGCATGCTACACCATGTCACAAAAATCCCACTGTCCTTGGAGGTCGTTCAGAGGGCAAAAGCACCATAAACAGAACGAAATAAACAGAATGAACAAAATGTAAAAATGAATCCCTCCCTTGTAAGAAAGACAAGACTGACGCCTGAGATACAGGAGACCGACCTGACAAAGATATAAGTACAGATAATTACAATTTAGTAGACAAACCCATGACTGGTGAGAACACACTTATGTAGGCTCTCCACACCATGACCTCAGATCTTTGCATGCTCTGTGCTGTCACAGAAGGTGACACACAACATGAACTCGACACAAAGACCTTGGCTGAGACACTGGTCCGATGCTGCACTGGCACATACAACTTTGGCCTGTGTATTTGTGAGAGAGTGAGGAAGATATCCTTTATTCTGCCTCACTCAATCTCCACACACATCAACCCTTCAACAATCAGTCCCATCATTTATCCCTCTCCTTTTTCCCTTCCCTACCCCACCTGACCCCCCCCCCCCCCCCCCCCCCCCCCCCCCCCCCCCCCGCCTCTCTCTCTCTCTCTCTCTCGTCCCTTTCCCGCCCCCTGGCCCCCCGCCCCTTTCTCCCCACTTTGCATGCATGAGAAGACAGAAAGTGCAGGTTTGGTTCTCATCATAGACTGGTGCATGAACATGCAATGTGCTCCATGGTCATGTGGATCACAGAACTTGCCTCCATCTCCAATCGGCTTCCGAGCTGGTCGATCTCCAATCTGGATTCACGGAGTTTTGCCTCCAACGCCACCTTAACATCAGTTACATGCTGCTCAATTTGTGAAAGCTTTGATGCCTGCGAAAGGACACATCGCACGCGGGATGCACCTTCAGCAAATCATAGACCAAATCCAAACTTCAACAATTGCATTTTCAGACTTCTCATGTTGAAGTTTGGGACATATTGTATATGGAGGTATGGACTGCGGAGAAGATGCTTGTAGGGTAACTCCCGAGTCCACCTCTGAGGCAGATAGACAGTCAATCCCCTTGCGAGAGGGCAATCAATTCTGCTCATCACATACAAATTGACATAACTGCATGCATAACATGAAACTCTGACTCCTTGTTATGATGTAAAGGGACACCGGACCCGTTTTCCAGCAGGTGCAGCTCCCCACCCAATGGAACGGAGCCATCCAAGAGTGGGAACACTAGAGAGGTTTCAATCAAAAAAAAAAAAAAAAACATGGACACACACACTCTCTTCTCGCTCTCTCACACACACACACACACACACACACACACACACACACACACACACAAACATGCACACACCCAAAAAAAACTCCAGGGGTGGAATGTGGCATGGTGGCAGTAGCTGGAGAGGCATAGTAGCCTTGTGTGGGGCTCCGGTGGTCCGCAATAGCCACCGGCACAACCAAGGTGAAGAAGCAGGTGTAGGATGGCTATGGTGGACTTCTTGATCAGCCAGCAGTAAGGGGAGGACTTGAACAGTGATTCCGGTTCATTCATTCATTGCTATTGTTGTTTTTTATATCTATATCTTTACTCCTTATAAAGAGTAAGCCAGACTCGCGTGACTCTTTATAAAGAGTAAGCCACGTCTCGCGTGACTCTTTATAAAGAATAAGCCGGGTCTCGCGTGACTCTTTATAAAGAGTAAGCCGGATCTCACGTGACCCTCCCACAAGGCCCGGCTACCAGTGTTGGGAAACGGGTGGGAGAGGGGTCGGGCCCAAGGTATTTCCCAAGGCATTGATTGGTTAGGTTTGTCGCGTAGCGCCACCTTTGCTTTGGTTTTCTGCACCATCCGTTTGAACCACGCCGGGCTCTGTTCAAATACAAGTACATAGCAGGGCGCCGAAGCGACGGTGTGTGTGTGTGTGTGTGTGTGTGTGTGTGTGTG